AGAGAGAGAGAGAGAGAGAGAGAGAGAGAGAGAGAGAGAGAGAGAGAGAGAGAGAGAGAGAGAGAGAGAGGGAGAGAGAGAGAGAGAGAGAGAGGCCGTGGTCATACCTGCAGGCTGTGGAGTACTTACCTGGGTGCCATAGGTGGACTTCATGCCGGGGCCCTGCAGCACACAGAGACACCCCGGCGGCAGTTAGTACATCGCAGCAGTTACCTGCAGGTGAGACAGCAAGGAGGACGACATCTTCTTCTTCTTCTTCTTGCTCTCGCCCTCCATCTCTTCTCTTTCCTTCTTTCTTCTTCTTCTTCTTCTTCTTCTTCTTCTTTCAGAGGGGGAGAGAGAGGTTACAGGCAGAGGTTAGATTGGGCCATGAGACCCAGGGTCTGATTCGACATTTTTGTGGCAGACAATGATTGGACATTCCGCAGGGAGACTATTTTTGGATCTCTCGCAATCTTGGTCTTCTCCCTCATCGCCGTCTTCCTCTCGCCGCTCCTCCCTCACTTCATCTGTGGTATCTCCCCATGTTTGCATGCAAGGAGGGACCTTTCTCCCTGCACCTGCACACAGGCCCCATTCGAGGGCCTGACGGTTGCTGAGGGCCCCCCAGGCTGCGTGCCCACCGGACACGCACCCTGGAGGCCCACAGCGGCCTTTAGGACGCAGGTACAGTTTGAGGCCTTGGGCTGGATACACCAGGACGCAGGGCCGATCGGGGACAGGCGCACTTTGGCGCCCTGCTGCATCAGCAGCACGGCCTGGACACCTGGAAGGGGCCCCGACCGTGCTGGCCGTTTCAGGCCACGCTGCAGCACACCCAGTAGGGCCCAGCGCTGTACAGAGTTGGGCCACGAGCCTGGGCAGACACACAGTTCGAGTAGCTCACTTCTTGAGCCACACGCTGCTGGATTAGCTCTGCACCCGGAGGTTAGAGGTAGAGGCGTAGGAGGCAGAGGGGCGGAGGCCATACCTGCAGCGGGGCTCACCTAGCGCCATAGCTGGGGCTCCACGACGCGCCGACCTGCACATGACAGCGGCACGACAGCGGTCAGTCCACGGCGGCGGCACCTGCAGGTGAGACAGCGAGGAGGATGAGCGGCCTGGAAGTCACCGCCCGAAGAGGCAAGCAGGCCGCTATATCTCCCATCCGGGCGAATAGCCCGGCCTCATTCTCGGTGTGCAAGTTTGGCGACACACTGGTTGGAGCGCCGGTTGGAGCAGCGCTATCCGGAGCAGCGCTGCTGGGGGAAGGAGAAGGGCACGGAGGAGTAAGAAGGACAGGAAGGGGGAGGAGCGCCAGGGGTACTTACCTGGCTATGGTGGCAGTCATCTTCATCACCTCAGTGGGCGCTGCAGCAGGGAGTCCCCAACTGGGGAGAGCTACACCAAGAAGCTTCGAGGCAGGGTCGGGCATGGCGGCCTGAGTTAGAGCAGCCATAGCTGCTTTGGGTTGTCCTTTGGGCATCTGGGCAAGGCCTAGTAGTCCGCCATAGCCTTGGCCTATGAGAGTGAAGAGTGGGAGAAGCGGCCATGGCTATGGTGGACCTCAAGTGACACCTGCAGTAGAACAGGGAATCAGACACTGGATCAGCCATTCAGCATTGTATTATTATTTCTTGTATGAATAAGAGAAGGGGGAGATAAGTAGGAGGAGATTGTTCGGCGAAGAAGAAGAGCCTTGTCATTTGTCTATGCTGGTGTACATGATCTTCTTCTTCTTTCTTACTTCTTCTTCTTCTTCTAATCCTCTCTCTCTCCTCTCAAGTTCATTCATTTCTTTCTGCAATTGGGCGGCATTGTACTATCTGATGGATGTGTATCTCGAAATTGGCCAGGATCATAACAGATTGATTGATTGACTGATTCATTTATTTATTGATTAGGTTACACTAATTAGTCCCCAAAAACGCAGATTTTTTACCTATGCAATCAGACCCATCTTCTTTCTCTTTCCGCATGCATGCAAACAGATGGCAATCCACACTGGCGCCAGGCGCCCACACAAAGCTCAGAGATATTAAGGCCGAGAACACAGTTCAGATGCAAACTCGCTTCATATGGCGCCAGGCACACATCACCCTTTCGACCCTGTATTCACAGCAACTGTTCACACGCACTCTACTTCGGATCTCCCTGGATGTCCCACGCACTCTCACTCTGTACCACACACACACACACTCACACATGCGCCACTAGCTAACACTAACTATGGCAGCTATGGCCGCTATGACCTTCACCTTTCAAGACTGTAGCAGCTACGACCTTGACCTTTCAGAGTTGTGACAACTACGATCCCTACACAGCTATGACCCCTACTCGACAGACCTACGGTTCAAAACCCAACCGCTACACAGAACTACGACAGACAACAGTCATCTACCAAGACACAGGTCAAGGGTTCAAACTTCAAACACACAGGGGTCTACTTGGTACTGTACACAGGTGAGGTAAGGTCTAGGGATCGAGCCCTGCAATCTGCATCTGCTACTGCAAAGGTGAAAACCGTTTCACTCCCGCCGGCCTAAATTGGAGGTCCTCCGAGAATAACTCAGTCTATAACACGGTCTTTACCTTTCTTTACCATCTCATAGGCACGGACTACGTCGGGAGCAGTCTCTAGAAGTTTTGTTTGTGTGAACCAGCGGTCGTCTTCCAGCTCTTGGAAAGAAAATCGGACTTTGTACTGTTTCTGCGGACGACCTCTACCTCCTGTTCTGAACACATCCCCGTCTACTATGTGATCAATGTCGTACCTTCCATCCATATCTAGAGGAATCATCGACCTTCGCGACGAAAATTGTTGACTCGTCGTGCAAGGTAACAACTTTTACGCGTGAAAAACTGGATATGTGTGGAGGTGTGCTGGGATCTCTATTGTATAGGACGACCCATCCTCTCCGCCCTTAACTTCTAGGACTGGCCACGGTCCTCCATATGTAGGCAATCAATGTCGTACCTTCCATCCATATCTGGATATGGATGGAGGTGTGCTGGGATCTCTATTGTGTAGGACGGCCCATCCTCTCCGTCCTTAACTTCTAGTGCAGGCAATAGCTTCTGTGAGATGTTCTCCTAAGGAGCAAATTCTTTTGACTTGATCCAGACTAAGTCACCTACTTGGAACTGTGATGGACAGCGGTGTGTGTTAGCTTGTTCAATCATCTTGTGCTGGGCCTTCTTGAGGTTCTCTATCACGGTAGCAATCTCTTTTTCGTACTGTAGCGGAAACTCCCTAGTGTCGGGTGGTAGCCTCGGGCGGTAGCCTCTAAATCTGACCCCGGTTCAATCCTTCAAACGGTCTACACAGTTTAAAGGACTTACGTAGCTCATTGGGAGTGCGACAAGTGGCTAAGTGCACGCTTTGATTATAGGCGTTGGCTACCGTTGGGAGTATCTCATCCCAATTGACTTGATTGGGTCTAATGTACTTTAGAGAACTTGTTGCAAGATCTTGTTCATCTGTTCGGTCTGACCGTTAGTCTCTAGACGGCCAGATGACATTACCAACTTAGAGTCGTAGACTCTCATCACTTCCTGCCAGTGACTAGTGAACCTGGTATCTCTGTCACTAACTATCGACAGCGGTAGACCATGCTCACTGACCCAATTGCAAGGAAGATGAGCAATAGCGAACTTCAGCAATCAAACAGCATCATACCATGAGACCAGAGAGTCGTGACCTCGAACCAGAAGCAGAATTGCATCACGAGTTTCGCCAAATAAGAGCACACCAATGCTCAGAATTGACAATGCTGGGATAGCCTCATCATCATCAACGAAGAACCAATGTTGATATCCTCTCTGGCGCTCGGCGCCCAGACTACGAATGGCAGATCCTATCTAGCCTAGACTACAATGCCACAGATGACGTCAACAGCTTCCCAAGTACGAGCAGACCTCGGCCAATGTCGCACGCGCCAAGCACCAGGTATGTCTCTCGTATTCCTCACAACCTCGTTCCTCAACTCACAGATGCCACTTGCACCCAAGGACCACCATGCGCCCAAACCAGCATACAGCAGCGCAGCTTGGCTATGGCTGCCTGCTCCTTCCAGATCGCTTGTGAGTGCGTGAGCTTGGGAGGCGATAGCGCAGCAGCGCTTGCGCACAAAGCAGCCAGTGCTCGAATGCCAAATGCATAGGCTGGCCCTTTCCTAAATGGAAGTGGCCAGCCTGCTTGCATGCAGCCTGGCTGCGCTTGGTCCCTGCCCAGAAGCTTCCGGTAGGCCCAGGGAGGAATCAGGCCCAGGCCCACCGACAGTTACCCGTGCCCAACTGCACACTGTCTGAGTCGGGTCTATTCTGCGTATCTCGCCCAGGGCCTGACTTGGACACAGTCGCTAAAGGAAGCCAGGGCCTGGGTGCCTTCAACCAACTCGCGCTGCGCAACTGCCTGAATTTTCCCCACCTGCGAAGTAGTCCGAAATAGGCATCTTGTCGTTTGTCGGGCCTGCCTTCACTTAGGGCGGCCGACCTGTTGCAAATAGGGGCCCAGTAGGGATTATCGAGGCCTATGCCTCGCATTCACTCCTCCATACTTCGCAAGTCCTCTGAGAAGTTCAATCTTCGATAATTTGGCGCTTTCCTTTCTGCAGAGACTTCTCATAGTGAGCGACAACCTGTGGAGCGGTTCACATCAGTTCCTCCCTTGTGAACCACCTATCCTCCTCTGGATCAGTGTGATGTCTGAACCGAACTCGGTACTGCAGCTTCGGAGGACGTCCCCTGCCGGTCGGTCTTGGAACTGGCATCTCTCTGTGATCTATGATTTCATCAATGTCAACCTCTCCATCCATGGTTGGGGGCAGCATAGAGCAATGAGAGGGAAACTGATCAGTCTCTCCGAACGGTGCAAGCTTAGGGGCGTCAAAAACAGGGTAAGTACGTAAGTGACCAGGGATGCGAATAACATAAGACGGCCCATCCGGTTCATCCCCAACAACATCTAGGATCTCCCATGGTCCAGAGTACTGCGGCATGAGCTGGCAGGAGATTCCGTGCTCCTGTCCCAATTCTGAGGACTTGACTCAGACTCTCTCTCCTACCTGAAATGTGGATGGGCGGCGGCGTTTGTTCCCAGACTCTATCATCGCCACCTGTGCCTTGTGCATCTGTTCAACAGCCTGCTGCATCAGCTGCTCATATCGATAAGCAAACTAAGGTCCCTGGTGCAACAGAGGGCTGGTTCTCAGGTAGTAAGAAATCCAAGGGCAGTCTAGGCTTAAAGGTTAATAGCAGACTATTCGGGCTCACGCCCGTTGCGCTGTGCACCGCGTTGTTGTACAGACTGGCGATGAGAGCAAGTTTCTCATCCCAGTCTGCCTGATTTGGCTTGATGTAATGCCTCAGCAGGTGTTGTACAGCGTGGTTCAACTTGCCCATTTGCCTCGGGGTGGTTTCCTGATGTCATCTGCAGCTGCGTTCCCTGTTCTGCAGCTGCAGCTTTCCACAGTTCACTTGTGAATCGCACATAACGGTCACTGACTATAGATTTTGGCAGTCCAAAATCTCTAACCCAGTTCTCTTTGAACAACTTAATTACGGATTCGGTCTTAGCTGTTGCAGGCATTGCGACTAACCTAGCGTACTTACTAAATCTATCCACGATGACATAGACGTACCGCATACCACTCTTGCTGGTGACCAGCGTATCCATGAAGTCCATGGACAGGCTTTCGCCAAGCCTTTCCGGAATCAGAAGGGGCTGCAAAAGCCCAAGAGGAGCCTATGTATGTGGCTTGTTCCTCTGACAGACCTGACAAGCTTCCACGTACATCTTCGCGTCTCTCATCATCGTGGGCCACCAGAACCGCTACGACAAATTGGCTGCAGTATTCTTGAAACCTAATGGCCGGTGGCGTCATGACACTCTCCTAAAAATAAACTACGCAAAGACTCTCTATTAGGCACACACAAACGTTTATTCCCAGCCTTCTCAAGGAACAGCAAGCCGTTGACCAACTCAAACTCGGCAAAGGTCACGTTGTCCTTCGCCTCGAGTCTACAAATGATCTCAGACATAAACGGATCCTCGCAATAGGCTCCCACCGTAGAATGAGTAACATCGTCTGCAAGCCCAAACTCAGTGATCAGCGCACTAGAGAAGTCAGGCCTATGTGACAAGGCATCAGCAACGTTGTTGTACTCCCCTTTCAGATACTGGGGTTCAAAGTCATACTGTTCAATGACTTCGATCCAGCGCTTCAAGGCATCAGAGAGCAAAGGCTGAGTTCTCATCCACTTCAGGGTCTGATGATCAGTCCTGACGATGAAGAACCTCCCAAGGAGATAATGTCTCCAATGGGTCAGTGCCTTGTAAATCGCGTAGAGCTCCTTCTCATAGGTGGACTTAGCCAACGTCCGAGAGGGCATCTTTTTGGACATGTACTCAATTGGCCTCAACTTTGGCCCCGCCTGCTGCGCTAGCACGACACCAATGCCATATTGGTTGGCATCCATGGTTACTATGAACGACTTGTTAGGATCAGGAAGTTTCAAGACCTCATGATGCGTCAACGCATGCTTCAAATGTTTGAAAGCAGCCTTGCACCTCTCTGTCCACTCCCATGGGGTATCAAGGCGAGTCATGTCCGTCAAAGGGGCGGCAACTATGCTATAGTTCTTCACAAAATTGCGATAGTAGCCGGTCATACCTAAGAAGGACCTCATCTCAGTCACAGACTGAGGACGCGGCCAGTCACGAATGTTGGCCGCCTTCGCATTATCGGGCTTCAAACCTTCCGCGGAAATCTCATGACCCAAGTATAAGATCCGGGTGCGACCAAACTCGCATTTCTCCCCGTTGATCTTGAACTTGTGCTGCCGAAGGAGACTGAGGACTTTGTCTAAGTGCGCTACATGCTCCTCGACAGTCCCACAAAAAATAAGTATGTCATCAAGGTACACGATGACAAACTTATCCAAGTAGTCATGAAAGATCCGATTCATAGTGTGTTGAAAGGTGCCAGGAGCATTGCAAAGGCCGAAGGCATCACCACAAACTCATACAGACCGTACCTGGTCTGAAAGGCGGTTTTGTGTTGATCCTCGGGCCGGATTGCAATCTGATGGTACCCGGACTTCAGATCTATCTTACTAAAGTACCGGCACCCTTGCACTCTGTCTAGCAAATCGTCGATGCGCGGTAGGGGCTCTCTGTTCTTGACAACGATGGCATTGAGGCCCCTATAGTCAATGCACATCCTCAGTGTTCCCCCCTTCTTCGGTACGAATAGGACTGGAGATCCATAAGGAGAAACACTTGGTCGGATCCACCCCTTCTCTACGAGTTCCTTGAGTTGTCGGCGAAGCTCATCAAGCTCGCCTGGAGACATCCGATAGATCCTACCCATTGGGATACTAGACCTTCGGATAGTCTCTATCACGTGGACGACCTCCCTCAAAACAACCCCTGTAGGCTCTTCAAATAGAGCAGGGTACTTGGCAACTACTCCCTCTATCACCGGCGGCATTTTTACCGGCTCGCCTGTTGCAGAGACATAAACTAAATACATACCCTCCTCCGGATTTTGCTTATAATAATTATAAAACGCAGCCGCATACATGCTTCCGTAGGACTCAATCAGACTACTAGCTTTGGACTTACGTAATCTAGCAGTCCCTCCACCTGGCAAAGTGTGTTTGACCACTTTTCGGTCCCACTCAAACTGGGGCTGTGCTACAACAAGATATCCATAGGGAGATCATCGCTCACTAGGAATGAGAAACGATGTCTCAATTCCCCTCCCACGTACGGGAAACAACACTCAACATCTTGGAGGTAGTCATTAACTACCATGCGCTGTTTGTTGGCACAGGTCGACTCCACAGGTCGACTCAGGCGTTGCACTCGCCCCTGTAAGCACAGCCTCTCAACGCACTCGCAACTAATGAAGTTCCTAGTCGAGCAAGTGTCATAATAGGCCCCGGCCTTGCGGCCGTCGATGACTACCTCGCCGACGAACATCTCTCCCTTAGGGGCTTTGGCCAATGTCGTCCAAGAGGCTAGTGGGTCTGATCTAGACCACTCCTCTAGCTCCTCTAAGGATTCAAACACATTCATGGAACAGAGGCTCGATGGGTCAGAATGTGTTTGCGGGACGACGATGGAGTTAGTAGTTTGGGCCATCTCTCAAAATGGTGAGGGTGTGTCCACCACCTCGACCCTAGCAGGAACAGCTACCATTCCTACTGGCCCAACGCGTTTCCCGGAGCAGTGCCAGAACTGTTGCTACCAACGGGAGCAGAGGATCCCAACGCCTGCCCCATCGTAGGCGGGATCTTCTCGGTCACCTTTCTGTAACGACACTTGAATTGGTTATGACCATATTGGCCACAACGAATGCAAGCTTGCCGGGTGTACCGGTCTCTCCACACATCCTCACTAAGACCCGCTTCTATGGGGTCAATTTGACTCCAAGAGCGGAAACCTCCACGGCGTCTATCGGTCGCCTTACCTTTCAGGGTTATGACAATGACTACTCCACCCCCTGAAGCTTCTATGCTGCCCGCCTCTCAACCTGCTCCCGCCTGGAACTCGTCACCCAACTCATGGTAGAACCAGCGTTGTCGGCGAACATAATGTGTCCCTTCGCTTTCCAGTTGGGAGGCAATGTCCTTTTCCTACCATCCGTCGTGGGTGTCTGACCACGCCCTATCTTTGCTTCCACGTCTAGGGCCTTCTTGCTAAACAACGAGAAGTTGTGCATGTTGATGTTGGCCTCACTTGCCAACTGGTTCCTGAGAGGCATAGGAAAGCATCTCAGGTAGGAGGTGAGTAAAACCTGGGGGTCATAGCGAACCTCTGGGACACAGATCAGACGCTCTACAACATCAGTGGCCTCTCTCACTGACTTAAACTGCCTCGTGTGCAGTGTCAGGATCGCGTCAGTAGCCTTTTGGGCCTCCTGCGGATCATGCCACCTGTCTTCCACCAACTTGAGGAAGTCGTCCAATTTCTGGGTGACTGCCCAAGCGCGAAAGTCATGACCGTACCCCGAGAGCTGCACTCAACCACTCAACCATCTTGCTGCACTCCCCTCTAGATAGGAGGCAGCCACAAGCACTTCCTCGTGCGGCAAGGTAAGTTTTCACTTAACATAGATTGGCACTGCCCTCAACCATGTGTCGAGGTCTTCGCCCCTCTTATACCCTGTAAAGGGTTTAGGAGCGGCGATGGCCGTCTTTGGAACCCACTGACTTCGTCCCGGTACCTGCACCATTCCGGACAGTGGACCCTGTGGTGCAGGTTGCTGCACTATCTGCTGGGGCTGTGAACCATGCGGCTGTGCAGGCTGCTGCACTATCTGCTGGGGTTGTGAACCCTGCGGCTGTGCAGGCTGCGAGACCGCAGGCTGCCCGCTTACGGCAACCTAAGACGGAGGTTGGGAGAACACTGTCTGTACAGGAACCTGCAAACTAGGACCTGCTGAGAACCCGCCTGTTAAAGGCATACCCAGGGAGATAGGCTGAACCGATGCTGGAGCRGTATATGGGGACACCCCAGTCACCGGTGGGACAAAAGGAGGATGTACAACGGGCCAGACACCAGGCCCACACAGTGATGGTGCCACCTGAGCTCGCCCGACCATCACGGCCAGACTCTACTGGACGTCTTGTAAGATCGTCGTCTGTTGATCTTGCATCTCTACCACTCCTAGCAAGACTGACCTCAGGGTCCTCACTTCATCATCCAACTCCGCTAGGTCCATCTCCTCTAACTCGCTAATGTCCGCTTTTCGCCGCTGCAACCTGGCTCTTCTTCTAATCATTCTTTCTTTTTCGGCCTTAATCTCCCCTAAAGCTTTCTGTAGTTGTGCCTCGCGATCAGCAGCTCGCTGTATGGCGACCGCCTTAGGAGTCAACCCTAATGGCTGGCTTGCCATGACGCCAGTGGACTGACTCACGGTCTGTACAACCGTTGACCCCACAAAACCTGAACCACTAGCCTGAGAACTTTGCTGCGCAGCATTGGCCATGGTTGCTGAAGTAGCGGCTTCGCTTGCAAATGCTCTGCTTGCCTCTGCTTCCCTAGCTCTTCTCTGTTGTTGCTGCCTCTCTCTAAGTTGGCGGAACAGAACTCGGTCACCCTCTGGTCCTAAGGCCGAATGGGCTATCGGGCGTCTAGCCGATCGCAAGGTCCGGTCGTCCTCACTAGTGGTGTCCCTATCGCTCATATGCTACAGAACTGTACACAATTTGCACTAAGACATTCTTTGATGCTCACCGCAGCGTAGTGCACAGACCGACTTATAATTAAACTAATTAATCGATGGTTGCGCATCAGAGAGTATATACATTTGGGTCCAACAGGTAAGTTCAGATTCCTACAAACCAAAACTATTTTACTTTGACAAGTCCGCAAACTGAAGCACAAGGAACAAAAAACAGTTCTAACTAATGCTGTCTGTCGGATGTTAATGGATGTACATCTAACTAATCAAAATACGAATAGAATCGTTCGTTGGGTCTGTTTGCAAAATGGGATCTTGCCCAAACTTATCACCTGGAATCTACCCCTCCCTCAATTCTTCTTGAATGTCTCTTGTCGTCAATGTCCCTGAGCGACCCAGATAGTGTGCGTGTCTAAAGGTGTGCACACGGCCCAACCCTGTGCCCCGAGTCCTGTTGAGCTGGCCAGCCCTGCACAATATTTATCCTCGCGTGCAGCGAGCCTTACACCAACCGATTCGCTGATCAGGAGGCGTTTTTATGGACGGCCCCCGAAGTCCTTAGGAATTCTTTAACATCGCAAACAAGACGAAAATCAAAGCCAATGGAAGGTATCCCACCGATGCTTATTTATAGACACCCGTTCCCGTCTGTCCTATAGGGCTGGCCTGCCCTTCAGAACCCCTCTACAGCGCAACGAGCAGACAAAGGACAAAGCAGCAAAGCATGCGCGCCCTACTCCCGGTGGGTTGGCAACGTGAAGATTGACGACTCTCAAGGTTGAGCGCACACGATTCCTCACATGAGAGGACTCTCAAGACAGATCACACATCTTCACGGTAAGAAGTGTCGAAGAGGGTAGATAAGGTTAGGTGCAACGTACCTCAAAATAGTTGCCCCCAACCACAGATATTCTCACAAGAGGACGAGGTGTTGATTGTGATGACCAGTCACTGCTTCGGCACAACCAGCATTGCACAACCGTTCCACCTCAGCATCAATCACACACCGGATAGTTCTCACCACACTGCGAACAACCAATAATGACCACATAGCCTTCCTGGCGATACCCCTCACCTCCTGGGTCGCCACTCTTGTCTCCGTCCTCCTCACTACACACGTCCCACGGCACGGTCGCTCACCTCACACACCTCGTGCATGTACAGTATTAGGCAGAAGACAAGAGCCAGATTAGCGCACCGAACCACAACTCCGATACCAAATTGCAAGGAAGATGGGCAATAGCGAACTTCAGCAATCAAACAACATCATACCATGGGACCAGATAGTCGTAACCTTGAACCAAAAGCAGAATTGCATCATGAGTTTCACCAATTAAGAGCACACCAAAAGCTCAAAATTGACAATGCTAGAATAGTCTCATCATCATCAACGAAGAACCAATGTTGATATCCTCTCTGGCACTCGGCGCCCAGACTACGAATGGCAGATCCTATCCAGCCTAGACTACAATGTCGCTGATGACGTCAACAACTTCCCAAGTACGAGCAGACCTCGGCCGCCGCACGCGTCAAGCACCAGATATGTCTCTCGTATTACTCACAAC